CCCCGCAGGAGCCATGATGGTCCCGTTTCACACGAGGAAGCCGAGGCTCAGAGATGCCAAGCACCTGGCTCGGGGTCACACAGCGGGTCAGTGCTGGGCTCGGGTCTGGCCCCCAGAACAAGACGCAGATGCGCGTGGCCTGGTTTGCTGACCGGCCCGGACTCCCCTGTGTGTGTGTGTGTGGGGGGGGACGGGGGCAGGTCCAGCCCGGACTCCCCTGTGTGTGTGTGTGGGGGGGGGCAGCCTTCCTGCTGGTCGGGCTCCAGGTGGGTCCGGTTCCTGTTCGGGCTCCCCTCCCTCCTTCCCGGGGCCTCTCTCCGCCCTGCTCACCGCCTGTTTCCCGCTGGCACCGAAGGCTGTCTTCGTCTCTAGCTGCTCATTCTTTCCAGTTGCCGAAAAAAGGCCTCCGGGTGCTAAGGAGGGAGGGGCTGCCTTGCACTTTTGCGTTTTGTTTTAATTTACTCCCCACGGTGGTGTCTCGGCTGAGAGGGGCGGGTGGGGGCGGCTGGCTGGGCACCGAGCCTCAGCCCCTCCCGGGTCACCTGCTGTACCTGGCGGGGCGGTGAGCACTTCTCTGCCCCCGGCCCGAGCCCCGGCCTGAGCCCTGGGTTGAGCCTGGCATCATCGCGTTGCTCCGAGGGCCTCCTCCTGCCCAGCCTTTGCGTCCGGCTCCCTCTTCTGGGAGGAGGGTCCTTTCCTCCCCGGGGATCTGGGGCCGGAGAGCCGCCTCACCGCCCATCTTCCTGGGGAGGAGGGGGTCCTCACCTAGAATCCTCAGCCTCACTCGCTTACCCAGCAGATGCTCCTGGACTCCTCAGTGCCCGCCAGGAGGGTTCCAGGTGCTGGGACGCAGCTGTGGATGTAACGGACAGAAGTCCCTGCCTGCGATGCCTGGGGCGGGCCCAGCGCCCTCTCCGCTCTCACCTCTGCGCTTTGCCTAGGCTGTTCCAGAGTCCCGGCTTCCCTCTGCTCACCTCTACCCAGACCCGGAACACGGCGGGCCCCAGTGGGGGAGTCAGGGTCACCCTGAAATGCCTCTGAGCACCTCCTAGGAGGTGGGGGCTGTGCAGGGCCCTGATGGTGAGACTCACGCAGCGGAGAGAGGCTGAGAACGGGACTTCTCCCATTGCCTCTGCAGGGCTGAGGGCGGAGAGGCTGAGGGAGGAGAGGCTGAGGGCGGAGAGGCTGAGGGCGGAGAGGCTGAGGGAGGAGACGCTGAGGGCGGAGAGGCTGAGGGCTGAGAGGCTGAGGGACGAGAGGCTGAGGGGTTCTTGCTCTGATGCAGCTCAGAGCCCTTCCTTCCGAGGTGGGTGGGGGTGCAGGGCCGGACGCTGGGGTTCCTTTCTCAGCTCCACCCGGCTGCCCGCAGTCACTCTGCCCACCTAGAGGGTCTGCCTCTGCCCTCAGGCGGCTCCCACAGCCAAAGACAGTTGCTTTCTGAGCGGGCGGGTGAGCAGAGCGTCTGGCTTTGCCGTGGGGAGGGTCGGAGGCTCAGAGGGGCCACTTCCTTCCTGACTCCCCAGCCCTCGCAGGGGGGGGGGCGTTTCCTGCCATTGCCTCCTCAAGGTCGCGGTCTCAAGGTCGCTGTCTCCCCAGGAGGAAGAGCTGGCGGCTGGGGCAGGACCTCAGACCACAGCGGCCGCCGACACACACTTTCCATCCCAGCCCCTTGTCTGTGGGCCGCTCCTTCCCCTGCACAGCCCGACTCCCTCCCCAGGCGCCGGCGGTCCTGGTCCCGTGGGGTCCGGGCTGTGATGAAGCGCAGGCTCCATCCTGCAGCCAGCCGGGCCGCACGCGGAGGGCCGTCCCGCGTGGAGCTGGTCCCCTACGCTCCCCCCAGCCCTGCTGACCTCTCCCGGCCACAGCTCTTTCTCTGATGACGTGAGACTCGGAGTCGGGGGTGGGCTCCCCCTTCTTCACACGCTCAGGGCCTCCCTCTGCCTCTGAGGAACCCGGCCCTTCTGTGTCCCTTCTCAGGAGCCTCCGTGCCCGCTCCCTGGGCTGGCGTGTTGGCTTAGGTGGCGCACTCGTCCCGAGAGCATCCCTCGTTTTCATCCGGGTGCGGGAGCCGTGTGTCTCTGCCCTTGTTTCTGGTCCCTGCCCTGGGCACTTGTTGGGGTTCACACAGGTGGCTCAAGGGTGCCCAGCCAGCACACTCTCACTCCGTTCTTGGCAGGGTCCAGCCTTCGCGAGGCCACAAGGGGGCGACGCAGTCTCAGGGTGGTTGGATGGGGCTCCTCTGGAGCTCTGCCCACTGGCAGGTCCCCCCCCCTTTTCTAATAATGTTTTGTGGCATGTGTCTTTCCTCTGGATGTGCACTCACAGAGCCACGTCTATAACCTCATCTCGCCTGGCGAGGTGGCACTGGGAAGCAAGGGTGATGAGCGGATGCCCCCACCTCCCGGACCCATGAGTGTTCCCGGGGTCATTTCGTTTCTTGGTTCCTCCTCCCACTTCCTGAGCCATGAGCCTGCCCAGAACAGTCCCTCTGATTCCTGGAGACAGTGTCCAGAGCTTTCCCTGCTTCTCTCCTGGTAAACTCCTACACATCCTTCAAAGCCCCACAGAAATGGCCCGTTTTCTGTGAAATCTGCCGCCATGAGGCAGTCAGCTGCTGCCTTCTCTCGGTTCCAGCTGCACCCTGTGCCTCCCTCTACTAATGCACCAGCTGCTCTAATAAGTGTCTGCCCCTTCCAGATGAGGAGCTCCCGTCCAGGGCACTGAGGAGCAGGACTGGCACCCGGTCCCCTAAGGTCCCTGACCGACCAGGTTACCTCCGGGTCGTCCGCGCTTCCAGGAGGTGGGAAGGGGCCAGGTAAGCGGAGGCCGAGTGTGCACGTCCGCCGCGCCCTGCACCTCCTCCAGGTGCTCAGCCTTGGTGCCAGTGACCTGCTTTTGTGAGCGTGTGCCCGGGAATCGGGGCGCCCTCGTGCCCGCTCCCTTTGAGTCTCTGCTCTGTCTCCCAGCAGATGAGCAGGCCAGCGCCCTCAGGTGACCATGTCCCCTCCCGCGTCCCCGCAGCCGGCAGCTGGCACACACGTCTTGGATTGTCAGCTGCGTCACCACAGAGGCCACGGCCAGTGGGGGGAGAGGGATTACATTGTTCCCATCTGGCTCCGGCGCCTTCCCAGCCCCTTCCAGCTGTTCCCCGTTACCCGGTGCCAGGCGGCAGGTGCAGGGGTGAGGCCTGCCAGGCGCTGGGGACCTGTCCGTCATCTTCACGTGAAATGTCTCCAAGGCTATTTCTGGCCTCACTGTGATCCCAATGGCTTTGGGGATAAATATAGACACGATTGAGAAGCCCCAGGGGCAGGCGGGCAGCACCAGGAAGGGCGCGGACGGGCGTGTGGCCTTAAAAAGTCTGCCCAGCTGTGCTGAGTGCAGAAGGACAGGTTTCCTCGCCACGCACCATGCCTGGGGGCGGCTGGCCGAGCAGGGGCTGCGGAGAGAGGGGGACAGAGGAAGCTGAGCCGCCGGACCTCGCACGGG